CACAGTATGGTGAGGGGCGTAACATTTCCCTCTCACGCTTGAGGTATTCGGCCAATCACAACGCACTGGATAGCTGGCCAATCACAGCACACCTCGCTTTTCAGACTGATGAGCTTTGTAAAAATCGACACGTTTCAGAAAGGCGGGGCATAGAGGAGAAACAATAATGTACAGTATGTGGAAAATAATGTGTTTTTTTAACCTTAAACCACATAAACACATTGCATTACACCAAATACACCAAATAATGTTATTTTTAGCAATGTCATATGACCCCTTAAATTAAGTAAGGAATAGTGACTCCAGCACTGTGGCTGCATTACAATTCTGCATTATTTTTCTAATAATTCAGTGGCCTGGAGTGAATTATTCTGCGTATACTATGGTCACCACACCTCAAGACATTGTTCATCTTTTATTTCAAGACATTTATCAGGTTTTTGTCCTTAGAATGCTCTTGTGTGTAAGATTAATTTATTGTAACTAGATGAGCCCTATACACTGATCCCCAGTGAAGACCTCATCTCCTAGACGGCCATCGGGACAAGACCATGGGAATCAGATGAGTCCTCTGCACAATCTAACTTTGCTGCAGCACGGATCAACCTGCTGGTTTCGTCTGGTCAGAGGAGAACTGGCCCCCGACTGAGCCTGGTTTCTCCCAAGGTTTCTTTCTCCACTAAACCTGTCCCTAACCTTACCCGTATCCCACCTCAATAGCAGCAAAAGTGTTTTGCAATACGATATGAACACAATAAGTACATTGTACTTAATTTTTGATGTAAGTACATAGTAGTTAATGGCACCTAATATAAAGTGGGGCCAAAATGTCAAACTATTTCCATGTTTTCCACCCTTTTTATGTACAAAAAACACGCTTTCCTTCTCCCGTGCTCTCCCACAGACGCACACAGACACAGTAGTTACAGGTTTCCACACACGCTTTCCTTTAAAGCATCCTGTCACTCTCGTCAAAAACTCCACGCAATCCTATATAAAACAGAATTTTATTCAGAACCAGTTTACAGAGCTATCATTAGCCTCTGTACATGTGCTGTTATTCAGAGAAACCTTGCAGCTAGAGCTATAGTCCAACGCAGCTTTTCTTACTCTTTCACTGTATGCAATGTATATGATGAGTTCTCCTTTTGTCTAGAAATCAGGTATTGGAGTAGAAAACAGTCATATTTCCGATCTCTTTCCCATTTGGAGGTAGCTGGAAATATGTCTGAATTATATGCTTTGATTCTTATAGTGCATGCAATACCATTCAGCCCTCACTACTTAAATTTAAGATGGAGAGAGCAGGTGGGCATCCTAACCTGGTAATCTGGATAACTGACTACCTCACCTACAGACCCCAGTAGCTCCAGGACTGTGTCTGATGTTGTGAAGTGCAGTACAGGAGTCCCACAAGGAACCGTTCTAGCTCCCTTTTTATTTACTCTATATACATACAGTATCTGTACAATTCCGCTAGTTGACTTTTTCAGAAATACTCTGATGACACTGAGGTTGCAGGATGTAATACTGATAATAATAAAGATTAATATAGAGAGGTGATTAAGAATGTTGTGAATTGGTGCAAGTTGAATTTTCTTGAGCTTAATGCATGTAAAACTAAAGAAATTGTAATAGATTTCTGAAAGAAACGCATCAAATTGTCCTTGTAAATGTCAAACTGATTAGTTACTGGGGTGCTCTCTGCCCTGTGTTGACGGTATTATGGTAAGGAAGCTGTCTTCCATTATGAATCATTAATCTCACCCCCTCCAAATAACAGCACATTCAGTGATATCGTTATTTAGAGAGATATGGGAAGCCTTTTATTCTCTCTGTTGTAAGACTGTTTAATCAAAGTGGATCATGATTTGTTGTGCTATTGTGTTTGCCACGTGTTTGGGTTGGGTCTTAATATTTGTAACTTGTAGAGTGTGTTGCTGCTGTGACATATGAATGCAACGGCTCCTCCCAAACAGCAATGCGTCAAATGGCTTTCTTCAGTTGCACTTCTCCACCCTGGTGACAACGAACTCATGTTGAACCACAGAGTTTTTTGTGGAACTCTAAGAATCTGTTAAGAAATATTTCTTAGATAGCGAGGAATGCTATTGTTTTTGTGTTGTTTCACTTCTGCATCAGTTCCAAGTTTGATCCAAAAGGGGAAGAACTACATGAGCTTGAAGCATTTCGCAATTTTGTATTCGTTTTAAATGACTTTCGTTTGGGTTTTGTTTTAAGGGTGGTGTGAACTACATGAATAAATGCAATATTTTTCCTGGGCTGAAGCTCTTGACTGAATCAGTATAACATGTACTCAGATTAGGTCACTGGTAAAGATCCTGGCTCACTACACATTGGGTTTTTATTGCATTATAGTTCTTCATGTCTGCTGCGGTCCTGTTTTTAGTGTTTTAATACTACAATTTAGTGCTTCTGTTGTCCTCATTTGTAAGTCGCTTTGGATAAATGACTAAATAATAAATAATAAAATGAACATAAGCAGTTGAGAAAGAAATCAAATGTGTATCAATGTATTAGAGCTATGAGTTGTGTTTAAAGTGACCGTGTCTAATTTACAAGCTGCTGTCGGTGTCCTTGATGTTATTCCAATAAATAAATAAATATAATAAACATACAAATGAAGAGAAAATCACTCACTGCTCTTAAACGAATAACTTAGCTTTACGATTAAAAAACACAGCGATATCATCAACTGGAAGCACAGAGACTATTTGAACTGAGCAGAGCAGATGATGACATCTCTGAGTCAATGATGAACTGACCTTAACTGAAGATGAAGTGTTTATTGTATTGTATTGTATAACTTTATTGTCCACCTGAGTGGAAATGTGTCTTTGGCTCACCAGCACAACAAACTGTTTACTGTTGTCTGTTTGCATTATTACACACTATTTGTCACTGTTTAATACTGTAGAGCTGCTTGACACAATCACACGTGTGAAAAGCGCTGTATAAATACAGGTGACTTGACTTGACCGCTGCACTCACTCGTTCTTTACATGTGATTAGGAAACATGACTCGGGTTTATGTAGCACTTGTAGAAGTCCAGAGACTGTGGAGCACGTTCTGATACCATGCATCAGATGTAATGATGAAAGATTAATGCTGGAAAATCAAATCAAGTCATTAGTTATAAATGGTTTGGCACTTCAGAATGTATTAAGAAACTCTTTACAAGCTTTCAAGATCTTATTAGAATTCTTAAAGGCCACACATCTAATAAAAAGACTCCACACTGATGATTTCATTCCCTCTCAGCAGGTGGCAGAAATGCACAATGTGCTGGTTTGCTAAATCGAAAGAAGAAGATAAAGTAGTTTCACTTTCTCCACATCATCGGATTCTTGCTGAAACATCTGGACGCGGTCAGTAAGAAGCCTTTTTCCTTTTATTCACAGACTGAGGATTTATAAACGCAGTACGACTTGATTCCTGTTTACTTTCACTTTGTAAGAAAGCAAAGGAGGTCGTAGAAATGATTTAATCGCTTGCAGTTCTTATGAACTATTGACTTATTATAATTCTGTACCGGAGGTCAGCTGATCTGAAGAGTTATGCGCCTCTGTGTTCTCTGAATGACTAAGTGCTGTTTAACTCCTCATATGAATGTCTGCATGACATGTACAATTCGTTTTAGACCGTTTTACGATAGTTTAGCATCGTATGATGGTGAGGCCGCAGCCTGCAGATGTCGCCAGATCCAGCTGTTATCAGCATCTTTGGACTGGTCTGTTCTGCTTAACTCTTTCCTCGCCAGCATGTTTAGAAAAAAGTTGCCAGCCACCGCCAGCGATTCTGATGATTTTCACTAGAATTTGATGGCCTCCAGAATATTTTGCTGTATGAATATCTGAATATGCAATACACCAAAATAAAGATCAGAGCCTCTACTTTTAATCAAAAAAGGTTTATTCTAGCTTAAAGCATTCTTTTTTTTTTTTTATCAACACAGGTTTCATAAAAATGCATAATTTTGAGCAAAAAGGTGAGAAAATCACATTTTTATAAAAAACGACATCTGGGTAATATTCAGTACGATTATCAAAGCATAAATCCAGTAAATCGCTTCTATCAACACCTCCAAAGCTTGCACAGACATCACGTCATGGATCAACATTTCCCGATAACAGAAAAAATGAGCATTTATCGGCCGATACCGATATGGTGGCCGATATATCGTGCATCCCTAGTTAATTTGACACTTTAGAACGTTAATAAAGTAGGAAGTTGCAGTTTCAGCGATATCTTTATCTTATCTTATTTTCAAAAGATGTGAAATAATTTCGGTTTATTTTTTGTTGTTTTTTTGTTTTTTTTTATAACAATATCTGGCAACACTGCATCGTCAGCACTTAAACTGACAGTAATCAAAAAAGCCCACGGACAGGTTATTGCGGACAAGATTCGACATTCTGTAAGGAAAACGCAAAAATTATCACGATATTTTCTATTGGAAATGTTATCAAGGCTGTCAAAAACAGTAGCATTTAACACTAGTACACAGATCTGTAGAACAAGTAGATTACAGAATGAAATGTAATCCGCAAACACAAGCCATGAAGAAGTCTATGCTACCGTATGTCATTCAGTATAGGAGTTAAACTTTTTTAAACGCAAATCATGCTATAAACATTGATAAGCACACTAGACATAGTTATCATATAGCAATGATTATTAATGAAAACTATAACAATGATATCTATTGTTGCATAAATAATAAACAATTGATAAAATTATCCACCCCATAACTGTATTAAAGTATTAACAAATTTTGATGCAATACAGAGGGTATGATTTAAAAATGATCATCCCTCCAAAACAGCGAAGACATCTTTTACAAACATCACAAACATCTGTCTGTATATAATGAGTTGTATTATAACAGCACCCCCCTCCTCCCACACACACTAATTTTCAAAGCCTGGCTACGGCCATGCTGCTATGGCTATGCAGAGTATTTAAATCTCTTTTGAATGAGCGCTCGCTGTTCACTTTCACTTTCGATTTGGTGATCAGGCACTCTGTGTAAAAAGAGCACATCTTACAGGATCAGATATCTGTCAGTCTGTTGAGCAGCAAATCCTCCAGCATGGTCTGTCAGTCATCTCTCCTTACTCTCCACCTGTGATCAGGTAAATCTGACTCCTGCAGCTGCGTTGGATGCAGGGTTGCCAAGTCTGCGTTTTTCCCCCTTGGAATTGGGCTACTGTTGCCATTGGTTGATTTTCCCTTGTGGGTTAAATGTGGGTTAAATGTTTGAAATATTGCATAAATTACATTTGACTGAAATGCTTGTAACATTTTAAGATTTTCCATTCTACCCATGATAAACTGAGGTAGATGTTAAGTCTTGTAACCCTAACTAAGCTTGTGTGTTTACGATGTTACTGTACTGATACACATTGAGCGGCTGTTTATATTGCAGTAGATTATTTGGAATTGAATCAAGGTTATGTCGAAATACGCAAATTAAATTAAATATAATGTGCAATAAAGCTGATTTGTTCTTACAGAGCTTCATTATGGTGAACTGCTGTGGTCTTGTGTCTCAGAAAAATGTGCCAGGTATAAACTCTTCACTTCCTCCTTATAATTACAGTTACCAAAATTACCAAAAGTGTATTTTCTCAGGCGCAGACCTTCTGAAGACAGTGTTGAGATGTTTGTGTGTTTGATCTTCTGTAGAGAGTGTTGAGATGTTTGTGTAGATCTTCTGAAGAGAGTGTTGAGATGTTTGTGCAGATCTTCTGAAGAGAGTGTTGAGATGTTTGTGCAGATCTTCTGAAGAGAGTGTTGAGATGTTTGTGCAGATCTTCTGAAGAGAGTGTTGAGATGTTTGTGCAGATCTTCTGAAGAGAGTGTTGAGATGTTTGTGCAGATCTTCTGAAGAGAGTGTTGAGATGTTTGTGCAGATCTTCTGAAGAGAGTGTTGAGATGTTTGTGCAGATCTTCTGAAGAGAGTGTTGAGATGTTTGTGCAGATCTTCTGAAGAGAGTGTTGAGATGTTTGTGCAGATCTTCTGAAGAGAGTGTTGAGATGTTTGTGCAGATCTTCTGAAGAGAGTGTTGAGATGTTTGTGCAGATCTTCTGAAGAGAGTGTTGAGATGTTTGTGCAGATCTTCTGAAGAGAGTGTTGAGATGTTTGTGCAGATCTTCTGAAGAGAGTGTTGAGATGTTTGTGCAGATCTTCTGAAGAGAGTGTTGAGATGTTTGTGCAGATCTTCTGAAGAGAGTGTTGAGATGTTTGTGCAGATCTTCTGAAGAGAGTGTTGAGATGTTTGTGCAGATCTTCTGAAGAGAGTGTTGAGATGTTTGTGCAGATCTTCTGAAGAGAGTGTTGAGATGTTTGTGCAGATCTTCTGAAGAGAGTGTTGAGATGTTTGTGCAGATCTTCTGAAGAGAGTGTTGAGATGTTTGTGCAGATCTTCTGAAGAGAGTGTTGAGATGTTTGTGCAGATCTTCTGAAGAGAGTGTTGAGATGTTTGTGCAGATCTTCTGAAGAGAGTGTTGAGATGTTTGTGCAGATCTTCTGAAGAGAGTGTTGAGATGTTTGTGCAGATCTTCTGAAGAGAGTGTTGAGATGTTTGTGCAGATCTTCTGAAGAGAGTGTTGAGATGTTTGTGCAGATCTTCTGAAGAGAGTGTTGAGATGTTTGTGCAGATCTTCTGAAGAGAGTGTTGAGATGTTTGTGCAGATCTTCTGAAGAGAGTGTTGAGATGTTTGTGCAGATCTTCTGAAGAGAGTGTTGAGATGTTTGTGCAGATCTTCTGAAGAGAGTGTTGAGATGTTTGTGCAGATCTTCTGAAGAGAGTGTTGAGATGTTTGTGCAGATCTTCTGAAGAGAGTGTTGAGATGTTTGTGCAGATCTTCTGAAGAGAGTGTTGAGATGTTTGTGCAGATCTTCTGAAGAGAGTGTTGAGATGTTTGTGCAGATCTTCTGAAGAGAGTGTTGAGATGTTTGTGCAGATCTTCTGAAGAGAGTGTTGAGATGTTTGTGCAGATCTTCTGAAGAGAGTGTTGAGATGTTTGTGCAGATCTTCTGAAGAGAGTGTTGAGATGTTTGTGCAGATCTTCTGAAGAGAGTGTTGAGATGTTTGTGCAGATCTTCTGAAGAGAGTGTTGAGATGTTTGTGCAGATCTTCTGAAGAGAGTGTTGAGATGTTTGTGCAGATCTTCTGAAGAGAGTGTTGAGATGTTTGTGCAGATCTTCTGAAGAGAGTGTTGAGATGTTTGTGCAGATCTTCTGAAGAGAGTGTTGAGATGTTTGTGCAGATCTTCTGAAGAGAGTGTTGAGATGTTTGTGCAGATCTTCTGAAGAGAGTGTTGAGATGTTTGTGCAGATCTTCTGAAGAGAGTGTTGAGATGTTTGTGCAGATCTTCTGAAGAGAGTGTTGAGATGTTTGTGCAGATCTTCTGAAGAGAGTGTTGAGATGTTTGTGCAGATCTTCTGAAGAGAGTGTTGAGATGTTTGTGCAGATCTTCTGAAGAGAGTGTTGAGATGTTTGTGCAGATCTTCTGAAGAGAGTGTTGAGATGTTTGTGCAGATCTTCTGAAGAGAGTGTTGAGATGTTTGTGCAGATCTTCTGAAGAGAGTGTTGAGATGTTTGTGCAGATCTTCTGAAGAGAGTGTTGAGATGTTTGTGCAGATCTTCTGAAGAGAGTGTTGAGATGTTTGTGCAGATCTTCTGAAGAGAGTGTTGAGATGTTTGTGCAGATCTTCTGAAGAGAGTGTTGAGATGTTTGTGCAGATCTTCTGAAGAGAGTGTTGAGATGTTTGTGCAGATCTTCTGAAGAGAGTGTTGAGATGTTTGTGCAGATCTTCTGAAGAGAGTGTTGAGATGTTTGTGCAGATCTTCTGAAGAGAGTGTTGAGATGTTTGTGCAGATCTTCTGAAGAGAGTGTTGAGATGTTTGTGCAGATCTTCTGAAGAGAGTGTTGAGATGTTTGTGCAGATCTTCTGAAGAGAGTGTTGAGATGTTTGTGCAGATCTTCTGAAGAGAGTGTTGAGATGTTTGTGCAGATCTTCTGAAGAGAGTGTTGAGATGTTTGTGCAGATCTTCTGAAGAGAGTGTTGAGATGTTTGTGCAGATCTTCTGAAGAGAGTGTTGAGATGTTTGTGCAGATCTTCTGAAGAGAGTGTTGAGATGTTTGTGCAGATCTTCTGAAGAGAGTGTTGAGATGTTTGTGCAGATCTTCTGAAGAGAGTGTTGAGATGTTTGTGCAGATCTTCTGAAGAGAGTGTTGAGATGTTTGTGCAGATCTTCTGAAGAGAGTGTTGAGATGTTTGTGCAGATCTTCTGAAGAGAGTGTTGAGATGTTTGTGCAGATCTTCTGAAGAGAGTGTTGAGATGTTTGTGCAGATCTTCTGAAGAGAGTGTTGAGATGTTTGTGCAGATCTTCTGAAGAGAGTGTTGAGATGTTTGTGCAGATCTTCTGAAGAGAGTGTTGAGATGTTTGTGCAGATCTTCTGAAGAGAGTGTTGAGATGTTTGTGCAGATCTTCTGAAGAGAGTGTTGAGATGTTTGTGCAGATCTTCTGAAGAGAGTGTTGAGATGTTTGTGCAGATCTTCTGAAGAGAGTGTTGAGATGTTTGTGCAGATCTTCTGAAGAGAGTGTTGAGATGTTTGTGCAGATCTTCTGAAGAGAGTGTTGAGATGTTTGTGCAGATCTTCTGAAGAGAGTGTTGAGATGTTTGTGCAGATCTTCTGAAGAGAGTGTTGAGATGTTTGTGCAGATCTTCTGAAGAGAGTGTTGAGATGTTTGTGCAGATCTTCTGAAGAGAGTGTTGAGATGTTTGTGCAGATCTTCTGAAGAGAGTGTTGAGATGTTTGTGCAGATCTTCTGAAGAGAGTGTTGAGATGTTTGTGCAGATCTTCTGAAGAGAGTGTTGAGATGTTTGTGCAGATCTTCTGAAGAGAGTGTTGAGATGTTTGTGCAGATCTTCTGAAGAGAGTGTTGAGATGTTTGTGCAGATCTTCTGAAGAGAGTGTTGAGATGTTTGTGCAGATCTTCTGAAGAGAGTGTTGAGATGTTTGTGCAGATCTTCTGAAGAGAGTGTTGAGATGTTTGTGCAGATCTTCTGAAGAGAGTGTTGAGATGTTTGTGCAGATCTTCTGAAGAGAGTGTTGAGATGTTTGTGCAGATCTTCTGAAGAGAGTGTTGAGATGTTTGTGCAGATCTTCTGAAGAGAGTGTTGAGATGTTTGTGTGTTTGTGTAGATCTTCTGTAGAGAGTGTCGAGATGTTTGTGTGTTTGTGTAGATCTTCTGAAGAGAGTGTTGGGATGTTTGTGTAGATCTTCTGAAGAGAGTGTTTAGATGTTTGTGTTTGTGCAGATCTTCTGAAGAGAGTGTTGAGATGTTTGTGTGTTTGATCTTCTGTAAAGAGTGTTGAGATGTTTGTGTGTTTGTGTAGATCTTCTAAAGAGAGTGTTGAG